GTACAAGGGGTACCTCAAACCCATTACATCTGCTAATTATAGAATCATCCAAAAACATATTTGCAATTACATAATACAAACATCAACTAAATCCTATCTAATAGTCATAGCACAGTCAAAAGGATTATTTTCCAATTCATAAAGTGTGGAAATAAAACCCTTAGCCTTTCCTTTTAGCCACAAGAAAGATCTGACTTGAATATTCGCAAAGGCATCTTCCACTGACTTGGATTTGCCTTTTGAACTTTAATATTAAATAAGGCTATATTTTTTATATAATACCTATTAAATATTGAATAGAAACATATTTTCTATATAATACCCTTACAAATATTGAATAGATACTACATATTAATATATATATATATATATATTGGACTTGTCTTTTGAACTCCAATCTTTCATGTCTCTTTTTTTAATAAAGGTTAATACTTTTATAAAATTATGAATTCTAAATATTATATAAACATTATATATCTAAAATATATTTTGGTTCTACCTATATAATCACTAATTTTTCCCTTTTCTTTTTTTTGAAATTGGAATAAAAATTGAATCATGAAATTAAAATTAGTATTTGATAAAGTTTTCTAACTAAATAGTTAATTAGTATTATATTTTGTTAAAGAAAAATAGAGAAAAATATAAAAAAAATTTAATTTTAATTTTAAATTTTTAGAAGTTGAGTTCAGCTGATCCAATTTGAGACCGGTGTGGGTAGATCATGGGTTTACCCATTTAATTCGACACTCGAAATGACCCAATCTAAACCCACCCAATCCAACCTATGTACCAAATCTACCCCCTCCCGTCCTCATTATCCTCCCTTGACTATAAATCAAGCATCCCACACCTTATCTTAGTGGTTAAAATTTTTGGCTTAATAGGGTTTATCTCGTTGCAATTTTAAACTCTACATATCCCATTCCTCCAAATTACCTTGTTCAAAAAAATAATAATAATAAATAAATCAAGATTTTTTAAAAGGTAAACCTCTATTTTGATCTCTTAATCTTGGTATAAACCTTAAATTTGGCCCCCTAAACTAAATAAATTTATATTTTGAGCTTTGAAATTTAAAATCTTAACTCCTTTTTAGTCTTTCGATTAACTTTTTTTTTTTTATGATGTAACATATTAATTAATGGAGTACGTATTTTTTTTTAAATAAATTATGTAAAAATTCCATTAATTAAAACTCGATGACGTGGATAAATAGGTTGTCCACATTAACCTTAAATCTTATTAATTACACAACTGTCACTATAATTAATTAATTTATACTTAAATTAATTGTATTACCTATTAATTCCTCATCTTCCCCTTAATCCCTTCTCTCTTCATCTTTGACAATCAAACTCTTCCATTAGATCATCTCTCCTCTATTCCTTATCTCATTTCATCTTCTCCCCGTTAGTCCTCCACACCTTCGGCCTAGCCGCAGAACATCACTCCCTCCTCCTTGTTCCATCTTGCCTAGAATTATTCATTGTCCATCGATTTTCTCTCTCCGTCTCATTGTTGTTAAGCTCCTTGCCCTCTTCATTGTTCTCCTACATAGTCTTTTCGTCCCCTCCTTCACCCCTTTTCTGTTCTCCATTAATAAAAGATATGAGATAGGTCAATTGTTCCCAGTCAAACAAAGGGTTCACAGATCTAGTGTTGTAGCTGAAATTGGAGAGCATAGAAGCGACATTAAGGCAGAGGAAAGAGATTTGCGATTGACATCAAGGTTGAGGAAGACAAAAAGAACGAGAATTTGGGGATAACAGTGCTTGCAGTGTGTGTTTTTGAAATTGGGGATTCTGGTGTTCGGTTTCTTGTAGTTGCATAAACCCCAATAATCTCCACTTTCTCTGTCCAGTGGTTCTCTTATGATATGAATTAAATTGATGACTTTTGAAATTTGAACACTATTGTACTTTTAAAAATCCTAATTTTTAAATAATTTATGAGTTTATCTATCTTGTATCGAGAATAAGTTAAAGATATAATAAATATAATTTTTTATCATTAATTTACATTAAAAATTATAATTTTAACTGATTAATTAATTAAATTAAAATCAATATTTATAATTTTAATAAAAATTAATTATGAAAATATATGTTTATTATACTTTTTTATTGTGTGATAACTACACATAATAGAAAAATCCATAATTTATCGTAGAAACTCTTCCTCTCCGACCTCCATTATGTTGTATGGTTTTTTTATCGCGATTAAATTCATCTCTTAGTTGCTTCGGTTTGATTTGATTTTGTCCAGCTATTGATTGTGTTCAATTCGATGGATATAGGTTAAATTTGATTTGCTTTTCAAAATTAAATTTATTTACTAGCGCGTGAGAAGAGTAGCTTCAAAGGACTGATTTTGAGATCTCTTCGTACTTGATAATTTGATTATTCAAGTTAATTAACCTTTACTAGAAAGCCTATTTCCTAATTAATTTTGATTATTTATATTAGTTACATTAATTTATTAATTTATGTATTAAGTGAAACTATTTATATTATAAATGATAAAATTATGAAATAATTTCACCGTATCATATGATTTAAATAAATAATTACGATTAAATCAAATTAGATATAATTTTATAATTTGGTATGTGATAAATGTTATTAATAGTTGTTACATGTTCAATCAAATTTACAATTTTTAGTAGCTATCTTACTAATAATATGATATTAATTAATATTAATAGAGAAAATGACTAAATTTTAAAAGAAATTACCGGTCAAGTTTAACAAATGAAAGATATAAGAGGCTAATTCTAATGAAGTAACAGACAGACAAAATAGTGAGTTTTGGAGAATTTTTTACCACATTTACTACCATAAATTTATTGTAAGGTGAACGGTAAAGAAAGTCTTCCATTTTCATTAAGAACTATTTCTTTGAAGAAAAATTTTCTCTTGTTTATTTTCTTTTGAGTTTAAACATTTTTATTAATAAGCAAGTCCAAGCATGATTTAGACTTATTTATCTCGTTTCATGGTTCATCAACTCTTGTAGGCATAAAAAAAAGGCGGAATTGCATTTTAATTCAAAATATAAGAACTATAAACAAATGACCTTAATCCATATTGAAACAGTAATTTTCAAGTGGTTTTTTTTTTTTTTTATATATATATATTTTAATTTTTATGTGGGTTTCTCTTCATTGTATTTAATTTTTAAAATATGTTAAATAAAAAATTGATAAAATCTAATAAAATTATGTGATTTAAGTGAATCTAAGTTTTATTTTAATTTTTTATGATGTAATATAAATAAATATAAAATTTAAAATTAAAAAGTAGGCTGTTTGATGGTGATATTCAAAACATTATTAAAATGGGTTAAATCTTCTCTGCTATTCAAAAATCTTACTTTTACAAATAATAAAATTAAAAAGTGACAAGATCTATTAATTATCACTATATGCAACTTGTTATTTAATTATTTAAAAATAACGTTTTATAATTTAATTTATGATATATTTATAACTATAAATTTTAATATGTGATATCAGAGTCCATCACAAATGAGATATAAGATCCACGAAAACAAATTAACTGCTTAATCAACTACTATTGTTTATTCTGCAATAACTAGTGATTAATGATTTTGTCTCACAGAGTTGATCCTGGGCATGATTGATTTTGTCGCATATGGGTTTTCTTGTGATCGAG